TCGAATTTGTAATCCTGTGAGTCAATATTCAGTAGAAACATTTTTGCTCTGTAGCGGGACTGGATGGTCAGCGCCGTTCTCTTTCTTTCTCTCTCTCTCTCTCTTTCTCTCTCTCTCTCTCTCTCTCTCTCTCTCTCTCTCTCTCTCTCTCTCTCTCTCTCTCTCTCTCTCTCTCTCTCTCTCTCTCTCTCTCTCTCTCTCTCTCGTGTTTACTTCGCTGTCGCCGACGTTTACAAACACAAATTAAATACATAAGACTTCGCGCGTCGCTAGTTTGGAAACAATTTTTCATTGTTTTCCTTTCTCACGCGGAGTTTGCCGACACGTTCGTTCTGTTTATATTCCAGGTCCGTGTTTTTCTGTTTGTTTCTTTTTTCTTTTTCTTTTTTTTTGGCTGCTTCCCCAGGGATTCTCGATGTCGGTACTTGAAGCCTTTCCCCCGTTGTTGAGGGCGGTTTAATTAGCGAACCTGAGTGAACACCTGAAATTCTGATCCAACCACTTCCTTGGCCTAGTGGGGTGATATTTTGGGGGGTGGGGGTATAAGGGGGGGGAGTTGCGAGTGGAAATTATGATTCATCTTTTCTTTCTTAGTTTTCGATTCTATATTTCTATTCTCATTTTCATTTCACTTGAGTCTGGCTTTTCATATAAGCGTTTTTTTTTCGTTAAGTTAATTGTTTTTTTTTTCTAAGTGGCGAATTATAATATAACAATGCACTCGACAAGTGTCTTTTTCTTTGATGCACTAAAATCCCTTTATTTATTTTTAGAGACTTCAACTTGACTACAATGAAGTCGCTACAGATAGCTTGGCAAGTCTTGAGCAAGCCGCTCGAGCTGAACAAAAAACTGATAAAACACACATTCACTCTGACATCAAGAGATAAATATGGTACACGGGGTTTAACATTTTTTTTCTTTTCGGAATCCATGAGTAACATTATTCGTAAGCACCTTAATGATTGGGAGACAAGTGAAGTACTAGTCTAAGTCACTAGGAATCACCATGGTAGAGACACTTGTACGGCCAGAGGTCCTAGGCAGTGAACATGAGCGCGTTGGCCCAGGAGGACTTGCGCGAGTCCGACGCACGCGAGCCGCTCCTGGAACCCGCGAGAGGGCTTAGAATCACCGATCTAATCACTCGTTTCCACATCATTGACGAGGGGATCGACAGGGGAGGAACTTGATTGCGAGACGCCCAGGACATCATGGGAGGCGTCTCGGGACTTCACCCACCGGGAGGAGGGATGGAGAGGCGGGCGGGGGCGGCCTCAGACCACGTGGGGCACCACCTTGAAGCCGTAGTCGTCGTCCGCCGCGGCCAGGGAGGCGCACGTGGCGGGGGCGGAGGCAGGGTGCGGGGGCTGCGCGTCCGCGTGGTAGTCCTGCTGGTGGTACTCCTGCTGCAGGGAGGCCGACAGGCAGCGGCGGTGGTCGCGGTCCCGGAAGATGGAGTACAGGTTGCTCCTCTGCTTGGGCTTGTTGGTGGGAGGCTTGAGGGCGGCCGCGCCCTCGCCGCCCTTCTGCTGCTCCTGCTCCTTCTGCCCCGGCTTGTCCTTCGCGGCCTGAGGGGGCGACTTGCTGCTGCCGGCCTTGGACTGCGGCTGCGAGGCGCCGGAGGGGGCCGGCGGCGTGACGGCGATGACGGGCGAGGGGAGCGCCGCCGACGGGGGCTTCGGCGGCGGCACCGGCTTGCCTGCGGCGGCCGGGCCCGCCGGCCTCGCTGGCTTCGGGGGCTTGGGAGGCGGCGCGGGCTTGGCGGCGCCGGGACTCTGCGCCGACGGCTGCTGCGCCGGGCCGTCTACGTGCTTCGGGGACACCGGGTGACTGGCCGCCTGCTTCTGCTGGGTTTGTACTTCTTGTTGGGGCTGCTGCTGCTGCGGTCGCTGGGAGGAGGAGGAGGGGGGCAGGGGCTGCTGAGGCCGCGGCTGCTCCTGCTGCTGCTTGTGGGGTTGCGCCGGGGGGTGCGCATCGAGGGGCTGCTGGCCGCCGCGAAAGAGGTGCGGAGGCCGAGCCGGCAGAGGCGGAGGGACAGACTGAGGAGGCTTCGAGGCCGTGGTGGCCTCGTAGAGGATCTCCTCGTACAGGTGGTAGTCGGAGGCGCTGTCGTAGGACGACTCCGAGGTCGTGTCGTCCATCGGGTGCAGGTGCTGCTGGTATGACTGGAGAAAGTGCTGCTGTTGCTGCCGCCGAAGGTCCTGGAAGATGTCGTGGGGGTGGTGGAAGGGGGACAGCGCCCCCGCCCCGCCGTGCGAGGCCGCGCCCGGGGCCTCACGCCCGTCGCTGGAGAGGCTGCGGGCGGCGCGCGGGGCGGGTTGGGCGGAGCGGCAGTGGAAGTCGTCCAGCACCGCCAGGACACAGCGCGCCACCGCCGGGGAGCAGTGGGGGGGCGGGCACGGGAGCCGGGGGGCGCACCCAGGGGGGCACAGGGCCGCGCTGCTCCCCCCGACTCCGTCACTGGCCGAGCAACAGGCCGTCAGATCCGCCGTCGTCC